TTTGAGATGGAGTCTATCTGTCGCCCAGGCTAGAGTACAGTGGCGTGATCTCGGCTCATTGCAGACTCCACCTCCCAGGTTCGAGCAGTCCTCCTGCGTCAGCCTCGGAGTAGGTGTGACTATGGACACATGCCACCACGTCCGGCTAATTTTTGTATTTTCAGTATAGACAGGGTTTTGCCATGTTGGCCAGGCTGGTTTCGAACTCCTGACCTCAGCTGATCGCCCGCCTAGGACATTTTTTGGCATGGTTTGTATAGTATCCGACACTGTCTGCAGCTTGCTTTTCCTCTCCGGGGTGTCACCGGGGACACTGTGTTTATCAGAGCAGGCTGTGAGGCTGTGAGGCTGTGGACTCCATCTGGATTTGGATCCTGGCCCTGCGTTTGTTAACTGTGTGACCTTGAGCAGGTTACCCCACCTCTCTGAGCCTCCATGTCCTCTTCTGTACAATGTGGAGGACAAGGGTAGCTTTGTTATTTCCCGTATTTGTTGATCCTGTCCCTTTTGGAAGCTGCGGAGAGTGGAGAGGCCGTGGTGGCTTTAACCAGTCCTCCATGATGGGCGCCAGGACTGCTGCCCGGTGATTGCTCTTTCAAATGAGGCAGCGGAAGGGGGTCGAGCAGGAGCTGGGCACATAATCCTAGGACTTAGTTTGCTTTAAAAAAAAAATGAAGGGTGTTTGTCTCCCTGGAAACCACTTGCTAATCTCCAGGATATGGTCTCTTTTCCAGGCGAAGGAGGTGGAGGAGACCATCGAGGGCATGCTCCTCAGGCTGGAGGAGTTCTGCAGCCTGACCCACCTGGTGAGTGGCTGCCTGGCCTGGGAGGGGTGGATTTAGGCCCAGGCCAGGCTTCAGGCCCTTGCTGGAGTTTTCTGGGGAAGCCATTTTGGTGGTGAGTTAGCAACCAGAAGGATTGGGGCAGCGGCCAGCGGTGAGAGGAAAGCCACGTGCACACACTCCCTCCTCTCTCCCTCGCTCTCTCTTTTTCTCTCTCTCTCTCTCACTCAACCCCAAGTGCTTCCTGAGGCGGCCATCTTGATCTCGCCCTTCCCCCGAGATGGTTTTTATTCCGCAGAGGAGCCAGGAGTGGACCACAAGGTGGCACTCTCGGGCACCGATGCAGGGAGCCGTTCAGCGGGGACGCTAGACTATATTTAACTTTCCTCAGCTCTGCGCAGTCCGCTGTGCAAACATGGAGACAGCCAGGAAATGGCTTCAGGCCTGCGAGGCCTAGGAGGAGGCACTTGCTCAGGCCACAGACCGTCTTGAGGTTGGGCACTTAGTTCCCTCCTGAATCCTTCCGCTCTTTCTGCTTTTCCCTCCTCTGTCTGCTTGGCCCAAATCCCCTCGCCTGACTGGGGAGGAAGATGGAAGACAATGGCCCAGAAGACAAGGCCTCCCATGCCAGAGTCTGTAGAGATCGTGTCTAGAGGCAGGCATGGCGGCTGACACCTGTATTCCCAGCACTTTGGGAGTCTGAGGTGGGCAGATCACGTGAGGTCAGGAGTTCAAGACCAGCCTGACCAACATGGTGAAACCCCATCTCTACCAATAATACAAAAATTAGCCAGGTGTGATGACAGGTGCCTGTAGTCCCAGCTACTGAGGAGACTGAGGCAGGAGAATTGCGTGAACCCAGAAGGCAGAGGTTGCAGTGAGCCGAGATCACACCACTGCACTCCAGCCTGGGTGATAGAGCGAGACTATGTCTCAAAAAAAATAAATAATAAAATGTTTAAACAGGATACACGTTGATTATATTGCACATAATATGGCAGCCCCAGGCAGGCACCAGGGAACTCTCACGTA